GCTGGATGAGGGCCTTGTATGTCAGTGGACCACGCAATCACCGCGCTGGTTGGTGCCGGTGGGGTAGGACAGTGAAGAACAATCGCACGCAATGGATAAGAGGAGCAAGTCCATCACTTCCTCCCTGACCCCATGTGCCGACTGAACATTATGAAAAATAGCTTGTATAGCCCGTTGGATTCCTCCAGTATAAATACAAATTCTGGCCGTGGCTGTCGTCATTGTGACCTTATTTTTTTGTTTTGTTTGCGGGTTGCGGTCACGCACAGGCGGAGCGGACTGCTGCGTGCGCCTGTGGGACGTGACGCGGGCCGTCGACGAGCTGGACCCCGACGACTTCGTGTCAGCGTCGCTGCACTCGCCGCCCGCGGAGCACGCGGCCGACCTGACGCTGGGCGCGCACTTCACCAAGAGCACGCCCGTGGCGCACCTGCACTTCACGCGCCGCAACCTGCTGCTCGCGTGCGGCGCGTTCACGCCCTGAGCCGTCGCCGCCAGCGGGTGGGTGGCGGGGGGCGGGGCGGCCGTAGCAATGCGGGACACGGTTCACGCGGATTGAGCCGCGCGAGCTGGCGGTACGCGCGTTCCGCGGAGCGCGTGCGGGTACGCAGATATCGCAGTGCAGGACATAACGTCCCGAAGATAGGTTGCACAGAGCACAGGTGGTGAGCCTCACAGGGCGTGTTTATTACACAGTTTGTTGTCGTGCCCCTCCCCCACACCTCCGATTAACACGGTTGGCTACGTGCGGTGCGAAATAATTTCAGCATACGTACAACACGATGCGTGTGCAGTACACAGAATAGCGCAGTGCAGGATATAGTCAACTCTCGATTATCCAGGGTAATTGGGGAGAGGGGTGGCCCAGATAAATAAGACCACACAATGCAAAATATACATAAGTTAGGCTATTAAAACGTGTTTGTTGCTTACCCATGTAGAATGGTGGTGAATACGTGTAGAATGTTTCATATTGTGTTTTTTTACGCTGGTTAAAGAAACCGGCATACTTCTGGACATGTGCGCTGTCACGGTCGGCACCAAGTCACTGAGCCGCGACGGGTGAGGAGCAGCCAGTAGCACCCGGCGCGCGCGTGTGTAAAGATTATCTTTGCAAGTTTGGTTAAACGGCAGCCCGTATAGTGGAGAGTTCACTGTCGCATACATAGGGCACTGCCAACTGCTGTCTCTTCAACTAGCTACCTATGGGCCAGATGTGGACTGTGAATGCTCTTTGATTTGCCTGCCAAACTATGGCCTACGGACACAAAACGGTAAACAGATTAGTGAGCTGAAAGAGAAACAACAGAGAGATGGGTGCTCTGGACGAGCAGTACAGATTAGTGAGATGAACAAAAACTGAATGAGAGAGAGAGCTGTAGACAAGAGAAATACGAGTGAGATGAAAGTTAAGATGAACAAAAAAAGGAGAGATGAGAGACCTGGAGGACGGGCAGTAGAGATTAGCAGAGACCCGTAATGTCACGGTGACTGAAAGAAAGTGGCCCACCAGCACAAGCTCGTGTTATTGTGACCCAAGTGTAAATACAAATTGGAGAACTCCACATTGCACAAATCGGACTGCATAGCGTGCGACACGTTGCATCCAGAGGGCACGCATGTTGTATACGGGTCGCCCGGCACATGAAGTACACAGCGCACCAAACACATTTGGTACACGCACCGCACGGCGCACCAGTTTGACATTTGGAGTTGACCATTGGATTATCACTGCCGTCCGGGAAAATTTCTGCAGGGAATTTGTCGTCCGCTGTAATGTGGACATCGATCAAGAGAAACCCCCCCTGCATCGTTGTTGGAAAAAGAATGGCATATTGTGCTGATTTAAGTACGAAAGTGTTGTTGCGTAGCTACAGTGTCATTCTGACTTAATAAAAGGAAGTTGGCTTGGGCAGGACGCGTCACTAAAACGTATGATGGCCAGTGGTAGCGTCAACTGCTGCCAAGATGGAGCGATGGAGTTGGCTCGTGGAAGGAACTAAATGGATTGTTGTATAGCGAGACCACGAGAGATTTTGACGGCTTAGGGTGGTCGTCATCCACCAGTGTATTGATTCGGGCTGATCAGTTTGTCCAGTGTCTCCCCGGTAATAGAGGTAATTGGGTGTGACCTTGCCTGGATAAAGGTGTAAAAAAATATGTTCACACCATAGGCAACATGCTATGCAAATGCCCTGTCTTGTTTAGTTTTTATTTATATTTCTATGTTTTTTTTTTAATAAGACCCTCCATCGCCTTAGCCATTTCCATTGTACGTATTCCCTGGCCAGTACTTGACTGTGTGAAATTTTGTACAAACTTTATTAAAAAAAATAGTAAAGATGCATGCGTTGCCTGCCTCCGTTTCTGGTGAACGAGATGATCCCTTAACCCAGCCAAACCCCTTGCTTTGGTTACAAGACTTTTTACAGGAGGGACCTGCATTTGGGTTAGTGTTTTTGTTTGTGTGACCATTTGCATTGCCAAAGTTGTTTGCCTTCGCATGGGAGAAAACCGGAGCACTGGAGAAAACCTACCGCGCACCTACCACAACGGGATGTGGAAACGTGACACTCGAATCTTCGTGCAAGTCCCATTGCTGTTCGCCGCTTGTCTTGCCAACTTGCAGTGCGAGCCGTTCCTGGGCATTGTGAATATGAATGTCGTGCGGTGGTTAGTGCAGTTTGATTCCAAGGCACAGATAACATTATCGAGCGATGTGAATCGAACGGCAACGTACCAGCGTGGTCACGTGTGGTCAGGCAAGTGGCTTTTTATCGACAACTGCGTGGATAAGGCCTTCAGATTTTTTTCAAAAAATGAGCTGTGACATGAGACCTCCTTTGCCAGTAACAAGATATAGAAATAGGTTTTACCCTTTTTAACTGGCACAAAAACTGACACCTTTATTCAAGGCATGTTTGCAATAACCACAACACAAGCAGTCAAAATGCAAACAAAAGAGACAACTCTGATAATAATGCACTGTCCTTGAATTTGATTGGTCCAACACCAGTGGAGACTAGGCTCTAAGAAAAGCCGTCTCGGAAGACGCCAAAAGGCGTACAACTCAAAAACAGCGCACTATCAGAGTATTGAGGGCTCGGGGTGATCATTTACATTATGAGACCTTTGCCAGTAACAAGATATAGAAATAGGTTTTACCCTTTTAACTGGCACAAAAACTGACACCTTTCAAGGATAGTGCATATTATTATCAGAGTTGTCTCTTTTGTTTGCATTTTGACTGCTTGTGTTGTGGTTATTGCAAACATGATGCCTTGAATAAAGGTGTCAGTTTTTGTTCCAGTTAAAAGGGTAAAACCTATTTCTATAATGAGCTGTGAATTGTGTGACATTACCCATAACAAGTTTGGCGCACACACCTCGATCAAGTGAGATGTTTTACCTGTAGGAAGGGTACGATGGTGTAAATTTATCGGTGTGAAATTCCACAGACACGTCAACATAACCCCGGATTGTACTTCCATCGTAAATCGCATCTATAATTGCCGACCATAAATAGGATTCATACCTGGGAGAGCCATTGATAGTGAAGATGATGAACTAGCAAAGAGATGTGGCCGCATGGCATTCATATTTGGTTCTGCTTTTTAAATAACGATATTTTTTTATTTTACCAAAACCTTTATTTAGACAACCGTTTTGGGAAGTTCCGTCTTTATCTTTTTAACAATACCAGCACTTGTTTACTTTGTCACGGTACTGAATAAAACGCGTTACCTCGCTTTTAGTGATACGTCGGATTTGTCCGTCGAGTATTTTGTGTTTTAAGTTTTGTGTGTGAGGAAAATTGTAAAGTGAAGTTTGTCAGAAAGCAGTTTCCTGTAACATAACTAACATACCTATCAACCCCTTATCAGTGCCCTACCTTATTAAGTTATTACACACCAATTCAGACCTTATTGGTCACTCCGTGCCCCTTATAAACCTCAATGTTCATCCTACAAAGTCCCATCACAAGGGGGAGACACAAATAGACACAAACATTGCCCGAATTGAAACAGCTGTACGCCGTAGTAACCTGCCAACCTAATGTCCCGCTTTTTATCAAGGGTCTCAAAGCGCTGTACAGGACACGGCAGCAGACACTCAGTATAGAAATATTATCACATTTCTAAAGTCATTGACTAAATTAACTAAAAGTTGAATATGTAACTCATGTACAGTTGTACAGTAACAAGCAAAGTGATTATTTGGGGGGGGGCTTGTATATTTTTTGCAAAAGTATTCGTTGAAAAGTGACTTTGAAAAAATAAGTACTTGGCGCTTAAGGGCAATTTTTTTAAGGTACTTTACCGTACTTAAACAATCTTTAACTGTTCTAAGACCTGATTTAAAGCTTTCGTGACTGCAGGGATTCATATTCTTGGCTCCAAGAATGTTCCAAGACCGTTACGACGTAATTGCTTTAATATTTCACTCAGTAGGGTCTGCGTCATTGCTTTAATATTTCACTCAGTAGGGTCTGCGTCATCGGAAAGACGCCGCCTCATTGGCCGAGATGTTTGGCGGGACATTTGAAATGTCCCTCGCGCCCATCGCGTGACGTCACCAGGAGGTTTTATTTTTATTATTTAGCGGGAGACGCCTCACGCCAATAAACGGCAAAATGAGGTTACGCGAACAAAATATTTCTCGTTCGGTATAATCTCTCTCCACAATACAAAACAACAAATATATATGCCCCTTCTTACACAAAAAGCAGATTTATAGTCTGCCTCTATGTTCCAAGATTATTATAACGACGCGTATGATTGTTTATTTTGACTCCAGCCCATAAGGCGAGCTGCGGCTACCGCCACCGGTGGCGGAAGACACGCCCCAAACACCCCTCACTCCCCGCACTGACCAATGAGCTTTCAGAATTCCCCCCCTCCCCTTACCAAACCCCCCCTCCTTCCCCGCACTGACCAATGAGCTTTCAGAATTTCCCCGAACCAATCCCGGCCGACCAATATAAAGCAAAGGATTATCAAGACGACCGTTGGGGTGCCCCCCCCCCAACTCCTCAGTCTGCGCCAATCAGAATCGGCCGTGGGTGACGGCTTCACAATTTGAATTTTTTCCTCGCGAGGCAAAGCCGCTGAGTTTCACGAGTTGGTGGAGACTTCGTTCGGCTGCCCATCATCATGGCGAGAAAGAGGTGAGAATCGAGTGCTTTGAGACCCTTCGCCGTCGTCGGAATGTGGAGCACGATCAGGGAACTCGGGAGACGATCGTAACTTTCCGGCGCGGTGCCGGCGATACGGCCTGCTCACCCGCCGCGATGCCTCGGGTTCGCCTATATTCTCCGCCTGGATTGCGTTCTCTTTTCACCGCGCCCACCTCCGGTTCGCGTGGGGGGAGGGGGGAGGCGTTTTGGTATTTGTGTTATTTTTATATTCTGAAATGTAACGTGTGTCATTTTGTTTAGGGGTGGTCCAATTGGCACATTACAACGGTATAGCTAAAATCACGCCGTACTTTAAGCCATGAGCCACTTTGTTGAGCTATCGTTTTTGGGCCAGGTCGCTTCTAAAAAAGAGATACTATATTTAGCTCAGCGGGACCCTTACCTGGTACAATACCATGACACTAATACGGGGTGAAACGGTGGCGCGATAGAGTTCCCTGGCTGCCAAGCTACGAACCCGGTGGATTGAGAGTTCTCGTCACGGTTGAGGGTGTCGAGACGCATCTGAACCGGTCAATGCACCCCCATTACCTTCCATGGCGTGGGGAGACTTTCATCCAGCAGTGGATTGATCCTGAATTGTAAATTAATACAACATATATGATATTGCTGCTTTGGCACAAGAAAGATTCATAAATGTCGCCCAATTGTTTTTTTCAGGCAGTGTTATTGACGAACGTGAGTTGTGTTTGTTGCTGTTAATTAATACATTGCGGTACAGTGATTTATATGTGCGGGTGTGTGTTTTAATATGTACACAAGTTGGTACATTAGGGAGCACAGGCGATGCATCTGCCAGTCTTCTCTGCTAATCCCTACGCACCTCGCCTCGCACAATCACCACCACCATGGGTGTGTGTATATAGATGGCACAGTAGGGGGTACAGCTGGTGGTGCATCTTGCCGGGCAGCTGTCAGCTAACCCATGGTAGCTGCTGGGGCTGTCCCGTGACCTGTCAGCAGCGAGCCTTCGACACTTCACGTGATAGCCTCAGAGTCACCGTCTCTTCGTGGCGAATGGCGATGGTATAGATGGGCGTGAGTGTTGCCGAGTGGCACTTAGCAGGTTTATTGCAACTACGCTGTTAGGCCGAATTCCACTGATAGTGCCGAGTGGTTTCTGAACCAGCCCTGGGTCTCACTCACATCGACCTGTGCCTTAAATGAGCACCTGGTGCGGTGGGTAAGCATTTAAGTACCAAGAGAAACAAGAACGGCCGAGCGTGGTGATGGTGTCTTTGCCACACTACCCACATTTGCGCACTTTGAAACTTAATAGGTGTTCGGTAACTTGCCCCATCATCAAGTCAATGCTATACGGGAGACTTTACTGCGCGTGTCTGGACCAGTGTGAGGGGCTGATAATCCCTTAAGTCATGAGGCGATGACTCCTACAAGGTTGTCCGATTTCGTTTCCCGGTCGTGGGTGACATCAGTGGCAAATGGAATCTGAATTTCTTTAGGGATCCCCCTGTTGCTGCTGGGTTGTCATCATCAGCACGGGGTAGAACAAAGCTGGCTGGAGACAATGCTGGTCAAACGATGACCGTTTCTTACACCGTGCCACCCCTTAATCGGTGCTTCCTCACAACACTTTCCTCAGCCTGCAGGGCTAAACGGGAGATCTGTGTGTGCTTTTTGTGCGCGTAGCGAGGTGCTCGCTTCGGAGTTGGTCGCCAGTCTCAACCACGCCATGGTGAATCTCCGAGACATTTGGGAGGACATAGGAATTCCCGAAGAACAGCGGCTGGAGCGGACACAAGTGGTTAAGAAGTACATGGAGGTACGGTCGGGGCACCGATTTGACACCGCTCAGATCCTCTGCGTGGTACTGTACTGATCGCCCTTCTCTACAAAATAAAATCATAAAGTCAACCCCCATTTTTTTACCAGCGTCTTGAGATACGGTCGTATACAGAACTCCAAATTGAATTATAATTGCATACAAAATATTAACATTCCCCGCACCTCCAATTAGCGCGGTTGGCTACGTACAGTGCGAAAGAAGTTCTACATAAATACATACAACTTCCAAAGTGTAACAGACCCCCAACTCTGCATTTTACTTTACCATAACTGCTTCCCACTCACTGCAGTGTAAGGGCCTGCCAGGTTGCTAAGAGATGAGCAGGGACTACTTGAGGGATCCTGGATTGGTTATTGGTTAATCTATTGCCGAGTAGAAATGGGGACAGGTGCTCCAAATTCGACGGAGCATAAAATTTATGCGCATGCGGTTTACACTTGCTGTGTGTGTGCGTGCTTCTGCGCACCCCCAGAGGCTGCTGAACGAGATGGTCTCGGAGGAGGAGGCCTTGAAGGATCGGTTGATGAAGAGCGTCGCCACTTGCAAGATGGAACTGCAGGGGCTTTGCTCCGACCTCTCTCTCCCGGCCTTCCAGGTTTACGATCCTTTGCCTCTCGACCTGGTTCTCAACTTGCTGTGGGTTGTTTTCAGTCTCAAGTCAGGCCTGGCCTGGTCCAATGTTCTTAAAGGCTGGTGGGGGTGAGTATAAATAGGACAACCGCTCTTGGCTTACCCACACAGTGGTATAAATTTTGTTGGTCTTGGAGGAATAATAGGCTCGGTCAACCCCCCCAGCGTGTACTTTAACTCCTAATTTTCCAATTGTGAGTTGCTCTGTCTACCACTGAGCCACCTGGCCAATTTATAGATCACGTCTGAGGATGGTGATGATATTTAGGCGAAATGGAACAAACTAGACGGTCGATAAAACCAGCATGCACGTCGTCGCGAGGCGTGTGACGCATGTTTTTGCTCGGCGCGTGCAGCCGGACGAGAACCTGACGCTGCTGCAGCTGGAGAAGGACACGCGCACGCGCATGGAGACGCTGGTGCGCGAGAAGCGGGAGCGCCTACGCGAGCTGCAGAGCCTCGACGACGCCGAGGAGCGGCTGTGCGGCGTGCTGTGCGAGCGGCGCCCCCACCGGCCACCGACCTCCGGGCCCGTGCCTTCCATCGAGCAACTCGCGCTCCTGCGACAGGCGGTGGCGACGCTCGTCGCCGAGAAGGTGCGCGCAGGGAGGGGTGGGGGGAGAGATGGGGGGCAGCGTTGGCAAAGTTATTATTTTTTTTACACAACACGAGTCCGTTACAGTCACGTCGAGCAACTCGCAAATCCAGGAGTCGACAGTCCCGGAGATCCGTCCCGACGCAACTGAGCCGTATATGGGGGTGGGGAGAAAGAAGGGGGAGGAGGGGGGAGGTGGGCCCGAAGGCCCAACTAAGTGGGGCCGTCAAGACGGGAGGGAGGTGACAATTAAAATTGGGTGAAGACAGGGGACGGGAAATATGACCAACCTAATGAGGGAAATCTGGATAGGTGGGGGGCGTTGCCAACTCTTTGAACAAGGAAGTTGCCAAATGAGTCACCAGAGGCATCTCCAGATGGACTTCGTCATCAGAAATATCAGTGGAATGTATGCCGCGTGTCACAGTCATGTGGTACAGGACGATTAATGCATACCTCGGGAATTACTCCTGAACCTGTAATTCACTCGTCCAAGACTGTTGCCACTCCTGCCTTCAACTTACACCCCGAAAGTACATGCTATTCACGTAGAATCAAAACTGCGGGGTAAATTACTCAAAAGACCGCAAACCTTATCTAGAGCACATGTTGTGGGTGTTGGTGCGACTGCACCGCGCTCTGTTTTCCTACGTCGGGCTGCGCACCACACTCCTGTCGCCTCTGCGCTGCGTGCTTGCAGACCCGCCGCCAGGAGCTGTTTACGCAGACGCGGCAGCAGATCGTGATGTGCATGGCGCAGCTAGAGCGTTCGCCGGACTCATCGTTTGAGCGCGACGTGGCGTGCGAGGACGAGGAGGAGTTCTGCCTCTCCAAGGACAACATCTTGAGCCTCCAGACGCTCCTCACTCAGGTGGGGGGCGAGGATGCAGCCACCCAACCTCTCTGCCATCTCTAATCTCACTCTACTCCCCTCCACATACTCCCCACCTCTCTCCTCTCATCTCACTCTCCCCTCTCCACACCTCTCCAGTCTCATCTCGCTCTCCCCTCTCATCTTGCTCTACTCCCCGCCACACACACTCCTACCTCTCCCCTCCCATCTCGCTCCCCCTCCCCTCCATGCACACTCTCCTACCTCCCTTCCTCTAATCTCACCCTCCTGCCCTCCACGCACTCTCTGAACTCTCCCCTCTCGTGTCACTCTCTACTCTAGCTGGAGCGCGAGTGTGCTCTGAACGACGAGGTATGCTCCGAGTTGCGCGACGAGGTGGGGAGGCTGTGGGATCGTCTGAACGTGGAGCAGGGCGAGCGGGACGCCTTCACTGCCTGCGTTCACGACAGCAAGCCCTCCGACATGGACAAGGTGCTCACCAAACACGCGCACACTGGACAAAGTGCTGACCAAACACGCGCACACTGGACAAAGTGCTGACCAAACACACACACACTGGACAAGGTGCTGACAAAACACATGCTTGCAAACACGGCTCTATAGCAAACCCCCCCTGCACCCGCCACCACTGACTCTGAGGGCCGGGTTTCCCAAACAATAGCCCTCGTACCAGCACGTATGTATGTACGTTGAGACCATCTCGTTCAACCGTACGTAGTGGAGCGAGTGTGTGGTTAGCGTGCTCCGCTACGAACCTAAAGACCCGAGTTCGATTGCCGTTCACGGCCACCACCAGTGACGAATATGTGAACTGGTCCGAGGCCTCCCCGAGGTCGACTCGGCCTCCGTTGATTACCCAGTGCGATGTGTAAACATAGTCACTGGGGAGACAAAGGTGGTCGGGCATGGCACTGGCCACCCACCCCCCGCGCCACAGTGACGGCTTTCGTAGGCGCTACTCGCTAACAGCACTTGCCCCATCAAGTCCGTAGAAGCTACATGGGGGATCTTTGCCTTTGTCCGCGTGCAGCTTAAGCAGGAGCTGTCGCGCCTCGTGGAGCTGAAGAGGCAGAACGTGCGCACGGTGTTGGCGGGCGTGCGCTCAGAGATTGCCGCGCTCTGGGAGAAGTGCTACGTCAGCGAGGAGGAGCAGCGAGCGTTCACCCCCTACCACAGCGGTAATAACGACAGCGGTAGTGACGGTGATGGTAAGCGCCCCCCTTCGTCGGCATCCCTGGCCATGGTTGCGGGAGGAGGAGAGTAGCTCGTCCGTCGGGGCTCCCGGCGCCGGCCTACGCCGGCCGTGAATCAGGATGCTGCTGTAGACGTACGTGCATGCTATCGGAACAGATTCGGAACAAAGAACTGATTATGTACACGCTTGCATCATGGGAATGGGAAAGGGTTGAAAGCTTGTCCAGTTAAAGATCAGCATTCGGTTGACAGCGCATTAACGATAATCCAATTCCTATTAAACTGAACTCGGCTTTAATTCGATTGAAAATACACCGTTTTGAAAATAGTTTTAACGGTTCAGTTGCAATCGTTTGTTTTCCGGGCGCAGACGACGCGACGGAGGAGCTGCTGGTTCAGCATGAGGAGGAGGCGAACCGGCTGCGGGGTCACCACGAGCAGCACCGCGCCCTCTACGACGGCGTGCGCCGCTGGGACGCGGCCTGGCAGCAGTACCTGGAGTTCGAGGTGCGCGTGGAGTCCAATGGCGGTAGTAAGCGGTCGGGCTGCGGTTAATGTTAGGGGGTTTTGGGTAGGGTTATGGGGTGGGGGTGTTAATCGGGGTTTGGGTTGGTGCTGGGGTCGGCAATCTGCGGCTCCGGAGCCGCACGCGGTGGCTCTTTAGGGAACTGCCGCTTCGTGCCGAGTGATTTATAAAGGACCCACCACCGTCTCCTATGCACCGCGTGCATGCCGTTCTTGAAATATTGAGATTTTTTTTTACCGAATTCGAACAAAAAATGGCTGCTCTTGTTACCTTGCTTGGCCGACCCCTTGGGTTAGTGTTGTGAGCTAGAATTAGGGTTGAGGGTTAAGCTCAGGGGGTCGTTGGGTGTTAAGGGGGTTGGGATAAGCCTTGGGGTTAGCAGACTTGGTTCGTGTTAAGCGTTGGCATCATGGTTTATGAACAGCGTTAGCCTCGGAGGTAAAGTTGGTAGCGGTGTGACAGTCGTGTGCATTGCGTTATTATTCGCCTGTCTCCGAACGCTGTGTGGCCGAGCCCCACGCTTGTGCTGCGGCGTGTGCTGTGCTTGCTGCGCGTGTGTGCCATGTTTGTGCCTCGCGTGTCTCTCGCGCGTGTCTCGCGTGCCGCGCTTTTACCGCGTGCCCGTGCGAGCACATACTGTCGTTGACGTGCCGTGTGCCCCCGTGGCGTGTGCGCAGCGGCGAGCCGCAGACCCCAACCGCTTCTCGAACCGCGGGGGCAGCCTGCTGCGCGAGGAGAAACAGAGGGCTCACCTGCAGAAGGGGCTGCCCAAGGTTGCCGCTGCCTCCCGCAACAGCGTTCGCAATCCCTTCAGCGTTCCCCACCCCTCCGGCGTTCCCAGATCTCTCCCGGCGTTCTTGTTTGCTCACGAACGGCACTCGCGCCCCGCACTTTCTGCCCGGATACGTGGAGGATAAGTATGGTTGTGAGAGGGGGGGTGGTGCCAGTGGATAGTGTATTCCGCTACAAAGCCGGCGACCCGAATTCGATTCCCGCTCACGGCCAATACCAGTGATGATTATCTGATTCGTTCTTGAGCCTCGCCTAGGTCAACTCGGTCTCTCAAATGAGGACTTGGTGCGGTGTGTTAAACTTCGCCACTGTGCATGTGCACGACAGGCTTATGTGTGCGTGCGTGTGTGAACACCAATGCCACTATGGTGGCGAAATGTTAATTACCACACCTGATGTACATGTTGTCGTGGGTTGATTGGTTCGATCCCGACCCTGACGCCTGTATATATGGAGTTTGCGTGTCTCTCTCCCCGTGGTCGCTCGGATTTTTCTCCGGGTCCTCCGATTTTTCCCTCCACATTTATAACCAACATGCGTTTAGAGTACTTGGATAGTATACATTTCCACGTGATGATAAGCCATTTCGTTGAGCTATTTATAACCAGGTCGCTTCTGAAAAAAAACTACATAGCTCGATGGGCCTTACGAGTTAAAATAAACCTCCGATTAGCACATTTGGCTACATATGGTGTGATAGAAGTTCAACATACATACAGATCGCTTCTGAAAGAGAGCTACATAGCTCAGTGGGACTTACCTGGTACAAATAAAATAGCTGAGCTATACATGGACTCCTCTATTTAGGAACATTTGACTACGAAATTTCAGAGATACGAACAAACCTGATCCATATGTTCTCGTTAAAGCGCATGAATATCTTCGTGAAGACCCACACCAGTTTGTGCTTGTCAGAAACTGTGCCGTGCGCGCGTGTTGCGGTGTGTACCTGCGTGCAGCTGGAGGAGGATCTGAAGGCCCAGATTGCCGTGTGGGAGGAGCAGGCCGGGCGGCGGTTCCAGGTGGCGGGCCGGCCCCTGCTGGACTACATCGCGGCGCAGTGGGAAGCTTTCAAGCAGGAGCGCGAGCGGGAGAAGATTGAGAGGGTAACAAAACCCCTACCCACGTTTGGCGAGATACTGAGGGCACGCCGCCACCGCGTTACTCTGTCACTCCGCGTACCGTATCACTGCACCGCTCGGCTGTGCAGCTCAAGAAAGTAGTTTGTCGTCGACTGCTCATGAACTTGCCGTAATTTCTTTTACGTATTTGCATTATTGTACAGTGAGGTGGAGCATTTTCCTCTGCATCATTTCGCGTGAGCAGCAGGTGAAGAAGGTGCGCACCCTGGAGGAGGAGATGGCGTACGGGAGCCAGCCTAAGACGCCCTCGAAGCGCCGCTTCTGTGGCACCAACACTCCCAACAAGACGCGCAGGGTACGCCCGCAGAGGCAGATGGGAGGTCCGCTAGCCCGGCTTGCCGCAGTGCGATATACAACGATGTAATGAGCCGGTCATGTTCACCGCAGCACGCAGTTGGAACGCTCTTCCGATATTGGGAAGCCACTGGAGATACACACTTTAAAATCACCTACATTTAAAACCCATTTCTTTAGAACTGCTTTTTGTGTTTTAGTTTGTTGTCTTTTTCCCCCACACCTTCAATAAGCACGGTGGGCTACGTACGATGCGGAAGAAGTTCAACGTACATACGATGTGACAATTGTGAACAAAGAGATTATTTAAAAGTTATCTGCAGTTCGCTTTGTATAAGCTTGCCAAAAGTATTTTAATAATTGCAACTTTACAACCTATAACACGTGCCTCTTATCCAGCAGTGGATAGATCAATGCATGTTTGTTGCAGCGAATATAGTTTTTATTTCCAGATAGGGGGTGATGTTTGGAAACAATGAAATCCGCAAATAAGTCTGGAGTGCTACCAATGGTCAACTTTGTGCAACGGTTTGGTTTGTGCGTGAATGATTTGCATGTGCATGCTCGTTCACTTTGTGCGATAGTGATTGGTTAGTGCGCTTTTAACCCTTTGCCGTTGCGAGACATCTCCAAGTTGCAGGGAAGGGGTCCCGTTCACGCGCGAGCAGTTCGCCGTAAATTTTATTTACAGAGGCGAAGTAGCGCCGTTGTTTTTAAAGACGTTGTTACTAACCGCGGAGAACCCTAGTGATACGACCGCCACCCTACGATAGCTGGCGCCAAACTGTGCCGCGCGGCCAACCGCATGGCCTTGTGGGAGCCTCGGTACCGCTATTTTATTTTAGTTTGTCTTCCCGGTCTGATGACACACACGGACGACATCGGAACGGAATCGGAAACAACAACAACAACGGTACGACGTACACGTACGTCATCGGAACGGAAAAGGCTTCTTGATTTCACTTTTTTTTTCTTTCCCACCGCAGATGAACGCCACCACCGTTGCGCAGACGGGCATCAACTCCACACTGTTCCGCTCGGCCGCGAGCGGCACCATGTGCAACTCCCCGGTATCCGCCAACGGCAAACCCCCCACCTCGGAGCGCAAGGTACGACGACGAACACCCGCCAACGGTCTCGTGATGATCCCCACCCCGCTCCACTTTCACGCCTCCGCATGCAAAGGCACCCTCCGCAAGCCACCTCCACACCCCCCCCACCACCATCACGATTCAAGGCACCCTGACTCACCATTCGTAGGGATTTGTCACCATTCTGAAAAATGCAAGATTTTCTTATCGTCTAATTTGTGATGTCTCCTCTGTTTGTATAGACTTTCTGTAAAATCTCTTCCAATTGGTTATTGCTAAAATAATCTAACAAAGATGGTCACCGTGTCACGCGCCTACAGATGCGCTTCTGCGGCCGTCTGGAACGTGCTCTTCCTTCCGATATTAGGAAGCCGCTGGACCTGTGCACTTTTTAAAATCTATATTGAAAACTCATTTGTTTAGAACTCATTTTTGTTTTTAGTGTGCCTATTCCCCGCACCTCAGATTAGCTACGGTCCGGTGCGAAAGAAGTTCAACGTAAACATGTACATGAACTTGATTTGGACTGCCTTTCTCTCATTTGCTGTGCCTTGTTTTTATGTATATATTTGCGTGTGTGTATATATATCACAGCTGCTGAGCACAGGTCCAGATGCTTACGATGCAATGAGTGTAGCAACGGGAGAGAGCAGTACAGCTGATAGCACGTTTCTTTAATTTATCACGGGGAATGGGGATGGGATTCTTGTAAACCCTTTCATATCACCACCCCCCCTCCCAAAGACAAAGATCCCCCGTATAGCCTGTAACAGACTGTTGGGGCAAGTGCTGTTATCGAGCACCTATAAAGGCCGGCATGGGCACACGAGGGGGTGGGTGGCCAACACACCGCCCGGCCGCCTTTGTTTCCCCAGTGGTGATGTTTACACACCGCACCACTGGGTACTCATTTGAGGCTGAGTCGGCCTAGGGGAGGCCCAGTACCGGTTCGGATAGTCGGCACTGGTGTTGGCCGCGAGCGGGAATCGAACTCTGGTCGCTGTGTTCGTAACGCAGCGTAGTGCTAACCGCTTCACCCCCCCTCCTTCCTCGCCCCACAACATCGGGGTCCCCCCACAGACCCCCGGTCGCACGTGCGGGCGCCCCCCGCGCCCCCCACTTGCAGAGCACAACTCAAGGACCCCGAGCAGAGCGCCAACCCCCACGTCCTCGCTCAAATGCGTCGCGTCCTACTCGGAGTTCACGGTGAGGGCACACCGGGGGTGTGTTGGTGTGTGCCGGGTGGGTGTTGGTGCGCGTGTGTCGAGTGGGTGTTGGTGCGTGTGTGTCGAGTGGGTGTTGGTGCGTGTGTGTCGGGTGGGTGTTGGTGCGTGTGTGTCGAGTGGGTGTTGGTGTGTGTGTGTCGGGTGGGTGTTGGTGTGTGTGTCGAGTGGGTGTTGGTGCGTGTGTGTCGGGTGGGTGTTCGTGTGTGTGCCGGGTGGGTGTTGGTGTGTGTGTGTCAGGTGGGTGTTCGTGTGTGTGTCGAGTGGGTGTTGGTGCGTGTGTGTCGGGTGGGTGTTGGTGTGTGCGTGTGTGTGCCGGGTGGGTGTTGGTGCGTGTGTGTGCCGGGTGGGTGTTGGTGTCTGTGTGTGTCGGGTGGGTGTTGGTGTCTGTGTGTGTCGGGTGGATGTTCGTGTGTGTGCGTGTGTGTGCCGGGTGGGTCTTGGTGCGTGTGTGTGCCGGGTGGGTGTTGGTGTCTGTGTGTGTCGGGTGGATGTTCGTGTGTCCGTGTACCAGCGGTGTCAAGATCGGCCTCTGTGGAGGAGGTTTGTGAAGGACGCTGCTGGGGAGTTTGAGAGGCAGACGCCCTCCAGAAACTATGGAGGGCAGATGTCCAGTAGGGTCACAGATGTCCAGCAGATGCAGCTGTGTGGATGCAGGTGCGGGAGTGTGGTGTGTGTGTGTGTAGGCTGGGTGTGAGTGGCTGTGTGGTGGCGGTGGTGGGGGAGGGGAAGTATGTACGTATGTTGAACTTCTTTTGCACCGTACGTAGCCGACCGTGCTAATTGGAGGTGCTACTTTCGTGGGGGGGGGGTTGGTTTGTGCTCTTATACAGTGGTGCTGCTTGTGTTCACGTGGTATGTGTACAGTATGTCATGGTTTAATGAGCGTTTGTGTGGTGGTGCTGCTGCTGTTTTTACAGAGGGACCTGTCGCAGGCTCGTGGAAACAACTTCCATCAGGATATCCTCAACTCTACAGTCACGTCACTGGGCAAGCACTGACGGGGTGAGCGCTCGCCTGCACACAGCCCACACAACAACAAAGATCCCCCGTATAGCCTGAACAGACTGTTGGGGCAAGCGCTGTTAGCGAGCACCTATGAAGGCCGGCACGGCGCACGAGGCGGGGGGTGGCCAGCACCACGCCCTTGTCGCCTTTGTCTCCCCGGTGGCGATGTCTACATACAATACGCGCAACACACGCCACACATACGCCGTGCAAAAAAAGTCGAGTTGTTTTTTTACCGAATAAAAAAACCATTCTCTCTGTTTTGTTTGCCAACCAACCCTGCCCTACAAGAACGTGTACGCACACACGTACCCACGCACACACGTACCCACGCACACACGTACCCACGCACACACGTACCCACGCACACACACAACGCGCCTGTCACTGTTGCCGCCGCCCATTTCACCGACTGCGTGTGCCGTGTTGTGTTGCAGTGGGGGGGGCCCCCCCACCGGTGCGAGCGAGAGAGGCGTTTGGCCAAGCAGCTGCAATTGCCGCCCGCGCGCCGTTTATGCTCGCCACGGCCTTAAACCGTTTAAAAGTCCGCTTTCACGTCACGTTTGAACGCTGCCTGCACACACACCAATGAGCTTCTGTAGTTCCGATGTATATAAAGCGAGCGAGCGTGCGTGCGTCACTTTCGGACCCTCGACAGTTGTGTTGTTCTGATGGGGGTTTTTTTTTTATTTTTCATTAACGTAGTGGGGTGGTGGGAGGGGATTGTAGGCGATAATTGAGAGGAACTGGGAGGTACGAGTGCTGGCCTCTAATTTTATCGAGCGTCTTGGATATATTTGTAAGCTAAGTGTGTGTGTGTGTATATGTTGCACGCCCATGGGGGAGCGGTGGCGTAGCGGTTAGCACTATGGCGCTGCGCTACGAACCCGGCCACCCGAGTTCGATTCCCGCTCGCGGCCAGGGCCGGTGACGATCATCCAAACTGGCAGCGGGCCTCCCCTAGGTCGACTCGGCCTCAAATGAGTACCTGGTGGTGCGGTGTGTAAACATCGCCATTGGGGAGACAAAGGCTAGTTATTCACTTGACAGAAGAAGAAAAATGTCTACTAAGGCACCTTGAAGATATAGTTAAGAATAATAAACAAATAGCGCTGGCTGTGTTTCTAATGAGATTTTCCTTGGAATTAAATGACCATTAATCCGCCAATCGCAGTGGTCTGATGGATCCGTGTATCTTAGTAGCATTCCCTTAAAACATGAGACACTGCTGCACACCCGGCTTTGACTTGATGGCCTCTCGTCAGCAGGCCACCGTGGGCCTTTGACGCGTGGGGTCGCGGGCCCGCAAAGGTCCGACGGACGTTGCCGGTCGCAAGCGGATTCGTGGCGCGTTTAAAAGTGCGATGTTTGAGTGCTTTCGTTGGGTCATCGTTTTTTAACACTACAGCAATTCCTGCTTTAAGAATGTATATTCTGTGATGTTTGCAATGATTGCTCATTACGTAGTGACGGTGCATTTGTACGAACAAAAATAAACTACCCTTTTTAAAGTGGCAAATGTCACCTGGCTGTCGGGATTTCACTTCCCACAAAAAATTGCGACGGCGATGAAATTATTTTCAGTTGGGGACTTGAAAGGTCACACACACATGACTTGAAAGGTCACACGTGACTTGAAAGGTCACACGTGACTTGAAAGGTCACACACCTTACTTGAAAGGTCACACACCTTACTTGAAAGGTCACACACCCGACTTGAAAGGTCACACGTGACTTGAAAGGTCACACACACCTGACTTGAAAGGTCACACACATGACTTGAAAAGTCACACCTGACATGAAAGGTTACACACACCTGACTTGAAGGGTCACACACCTGACTTGAAAGGTCACACACCTCACATGAAAGGTCACACACCTCACATGAAAGGTCACACCTCACATGAAAGGTCACACACCTGACTTGAAAGGTTACACACGACATGAAAGGTCACACCTCACATGAAAGGTCACACACCCGACTTGAAAGGTCACACCTGACTTGAAAGGTCACATGACATGAAAGGTCACACATGACATGAAAGGTCACACACACCTGACTTGACATGCTACACACACATGACTTGACATGCTACACACACGTGACTTGATACACACCTGACTTGAAAGGTCACACACACATGACATGAAAGGTCACACACATGACATGAAAGGTCACACACACATGACATGAAAGGTCACACACATGACATGAAAGGTCACACACACCTGACTTGAAAGGTCACATGACATGAAAGGTCACACATGACATGAAAGGTCACACACACCTGACTTGACATGCTACACACACATGACTTGACATGCTACACACACGTGACTTGATACACACCTGACTTGAAAGGTCACACACACATGACATGAAAGGTCACACACATGACATGAAAGGTCACACATGACATGAAAGGTCACACACATGACATGAAAGGTCACACACATGACATGAAAGGTCACACACACATGACATGAAAGGTCACACACATGACATGAAAGGTCACACACATGACATGAAAGGTCACACACACCTGACTTGACATGCTACACACACATGACTTGACATGCTACACACACGTGACTTGATACACACCTGACTTGAAAGGTCACACACACATGACATGAAAGGTCACACACATGACATGAAAGGTCACACACACATGACATGAAAGGTCACACACATGACATGAAAGGTCACACACACCTGACTTGAAAGGCCACACACATGACATGGAAGGTCACACTTTACTTGGAAGGTCACACACACATGACATGAAAGGTCACACACACATGACATGAAAGGTCACACACGACTTGAAAGGTCACACACATGACATGGAAGGTCACACCTTACTTGGAAGGTCACACACACATGACATTAAAGGTCACACACACATGACTTAAAAGGTCACACACATGACTTGAAAGGTCACACACATGACATGGAAGGTCACACCTTACTTGGAAGGTCACACACACATGACATGAAAGGTCACACACACATGACATGAAAGGTCACACACATGACATGGAAGGTCATACCTTACTTGGAAGGTCACACACACATGACATGAAAGGTCACACACATGACATGAAAGGTCACACACATGACTTGAAAGGTCACACCTTACTTGGAAGGTCACACACACATGACATGAAAAGTCACAGACATAACTTAAAAGGTCACACACACCTGACTTGACATGCTACACACACGTGACTTGATACACACCTGACTTGACAGGTCACACACCTGATGGTGCAGTTGGGTGCCGTGTAAAAAGTGTCGGGACGTGACCGTTCTGCGCCATCCGACAGTCACGAGTGGTCATTCGGGAGAAGTCTTTAACTGGGACCAAGACCGTGACGGAAATCCATCTGGCTCGTGCACAATGTCGTCATAGCTGAGGAAGGTCAGCAGGGTGTGTGCTGTATGGGGTGGCTAGGAGATGTTAACTACCTTGCCTGGTATACAGAAGGTCGTGGGTTCGATCCCGACCTTGACGCCTGTATATTAGGAGTTTGCACGTTCTCCCCGTGGTAGAGTGGATTTTTCTCTGGGTCCACCGGTATTTCCCTCCACATTTAGAAACATATGTTAAGAGGATTTGGCCGCTATAAGTGTCCACATGATAAGCCACGGATTTGGCTGCTAAAATTTCAGAGCGACGATCATAAGCCCACTTGGTCGAGGCTATCACTTTGTGACCAGGTCGCTTCTGAAAAAAGTGCGCCTTACCTTGAAAAATAAAAAGCTTAGTTTGTTGAACATTTTTTTGCATCGTACATAGCCAACCATGTTTATTTGGAGGTGCAGGGGAAGGACAACAAACTAAACACAAAGAGCAGTTCTAAAGAAATTAAATACTCGATCACGAGAACCTTTGTGAACCAACACAGCATGGGGGAGGCCTTTATCCAGCTGTGGGCAGTCAATTTTATTTTGCGGAAGTTTCAGCAGCGGAGGCGGCGTGGCGATTTGAAGGGGGGGGGGGGGGGGGCTCCATGCGGGCACCGTGGCTGCTGAGTCTCTAAATATACGAGCCGAATTATCCTAACGGGAACCCACAGCCATTACCACCATCGCCCAAACCGCGAAAGGACAAAAAGCCAGGAGCTCGTCTTTTTTGCTGACTGCACGTCCGTAGGGTGGGGGTTTGTGGAGTTTTTTTTTGCGGAATTAAAACTGGACGCTTTGTTTTTTTTTGTGTGTGTCTAGGAGGCATAACGATAGTTACAGCATCAGCCGGTCAGACTCGGTGAGTTCTTTTAAACGCCTTTCGTTTAACCAGCCCCCTTAGCCAAAGGAGAGAGCGAGAGATGTACCCGGGATTTGAGCGACGGATGATCGGGGCATCCCGTGGGCGCGAAGGTTGGACGCAGAGTGCGTGGAGAAACTTCATCCAGCAGTGGATAGACATGGTTCATGAAGAGGTTAATGATAACACTGCATGTAATAATGGTCACTTAGGGTGTCATCTTGTGCGGTGGGATGTCGCAAGCAATGCATTTCACAAATGCACGGGCAGAGTGGTGGGAGCGCATGGGATGCTGAAAACGTGGACACAACTGAAACATCTTTGTACAATAATGTTGAGGTGCAACTGACGACGCTGACACGGTTCTTGAGTAGGGGCGGATGCCAAGGTTTATTAAGGGCTACTGCCGGTAACCTATTAAAGGCTTACGCCTAACAGGTGACAACCCTAATATCTCCCCAGGGGAAAGGGTACTGGGAGGTCCCTAGCTCCACCCAGGCTAGACGTGATCTTCCCCCAGCACCGACCGAGGGATCATCCAACTCGGTCGGCCGGGTGAACTATCACTCTCGCCTGGCGCTGATTCCCCCTACCCTGGATCCCGACTCCCTAACTCTCTCCGTTCCTGGCCCTTCGCGACGACCCCCTCTACGTCACGGGTCCCCCCTTATATATCCCCCGTAACCTGACGTCATCCATTCTCACCCCCCTGAGTGACATGACGTCCTCCACTACTCGTCTACAATAATACGGGGAACAATCGCACATCTTCTACAAAAAGCATTACGTCCCTACGGCCACACGTCCTGTGCAGAATTCGGCGGCGTTGATTCAGTGAAGCAAAGTCCGGACTGGCGTTTCAACATCCAGTTGCGTCTCGTCAGCAGAGTCGGGCCTGCTTGAACGCTGGTGGCCGTGCCCGATATTGTGAGTGGCGAGCTCGCGGAGTGGTTAACAACACTTCGTCACAGCAAGAAGCAGCAGAATGCCTACATCACAGCTCTCTGACCACGTCACAGCTCTGCCCACGTGTCTCGACCCACGTGTCTTGTCGCCATCGCTCCCCTCCCGTCTCTCCACGAATGTAAAACGAGAGCGTTGGCACCTGTTCGTGCCACGGGTGGTGCCATGTGTTCGTCACGTGACCGACCACTGACCATCACACTCCGCCTACAACACGCGGTATTATATACCTACTACAAAGATAAAGATCCCCGGTATAGACCTAGACGTTTGGGGCAAGTGCTGTCAGCGAGCACCCATGAAGGCAGGCACGGGCACACAAGGGGGTAGGTGTCCAGCACCACGCCTGACCGCCCTTGTCTCCCCAATGTCGATGTTTACACACCGCGCTGGGTACTAATTTGAGACTGAGTCTACCTAGGGGAGGCCCAGGACCTGCTTAGGTAATTATCACTGGTGTTGTCCGTGAGCAGGAAGCGAACTTAGGTCGCAGGGTTTAATGCGCAGCGCGCTTACCACTGCGCGAGCCGCATCATCAATGCGCACCCTGCACCACACGCACCACGAATGTAAAACTTCTGCCGTGATCGCGGCTCCGTGTACGCGGGTTCACACCGGGCCCAGACGGGGCTCTTGGTACCAGAGCACTTCACGTTATCAACTCCCCCATGGCCCTGTAGATTCACGATGCTTGCGTGCTGTACAATCCAGTTCTTCAGATAGAGGATGTCCGAACACTCGCAGTCCCAGGGGTGAAATTGTTCACGTAAATAATAGTGCAGCGTGGTGTGATTATTATCACTGTCGGTTTGTAAGGCCATATTTAAATTAATTGTATACCACCCGTCTTTAGTATTAACGTATCGTAGGGTATTATAACCAGACCCGTATACACCGCATCTAACACATCTTAAGTTGCATATATCTCATTGTAACGTGAATATATTAGACACATTTTGAGACAATGTACGTGTAAATGCCGTTAAACTTAATCAATGCTTATTTCTCTATTTGACAGCGAGAGGAAGTCAGAGACCGCAGTGATCGACAGAATAGTTGTCTGTCTCACAAGGCCCAAGGGAAGAACCGGGTTGGAACTGTCTAGAGCCGTAATTAGTGTCGACGTCTACATCATCGTCATCAGCCATGATCAATCAACTGCTGGATGGAGGCCTCCCCCAAGCCGTCACCATCCCTCGGGGATTGGCGGTCCAATAATCCATTGGGCAGCTGCATGCAAGTTCACCTCGTCGCTGGCTGGGAGGTGGTAGCTTTCTCGTGGCCCACCTGT